CCGAGGATGATCCTCCTTTATCGACATTACTCTCCGCCTTTAACTTTCAAAATGGCGGCCGAAAAACCTGCGTTTCTATAGACTACCTGGCGCTCCTTAACCAATGCACCGATTTTAAATGAAACTTAGCTCAAATCATTTTCTTGATGCCCTTTAAGTTTATCTATATAACATACTTCAATCTGAGAATCTGGTCAAGATAAGAATCTGGAAAAAACGGTACGAGAGATGGTAAAATTTAATTCCGAATAACTCATAAATTATACACTTTTTTGTGGATATTGTACGTGGTTTTTTAAAAGTTTACGGAATTTCCTAAAAAAAAAAATCGGACAATTAGGAGCAAAAATATGTCTCCAGTTTTTTTATATGTTCTACTCCAAATGTTCTATCCTTTGTTTGGTTTTAAATTTTGAATTTGTTACTGAAGTAATGCTATTTTTTTTAGCATATTACTAATGATAAAAAAAAAAAATGTAGTAATTGGAATCACCTTTTATTTATTTTTCTTTGTAACTAGGAAGGTAATGTTACCTTAGATGTATAGTTGTTTGGACATAATAAACCATTGTGAAATAATTTGCAGCGTTTTTTTATGAAATTTCGTAAAATTTCAAATAAACATACAGTAACCAGAACAGAGTATTCTTCTTCAGTTATTCGAAAATGTAATTTTACCATTCTCGTAACTTTTTTTCCACTATGAAAAAAATTCGTTGAAGTAAGTTATATAGATACGTTACATAGATAGAATTCTATGTATTGTGGAACTTAAAACATCAAATTTTGAGGGGGGTTGATTTTTTTATTTCTTTGGAGATTACAATGATCGTTATTCAAAATAATAAACCAAAAAAACCGAATTTTCTGTCCTGGCGATGCGTAAATTGGTGAAATACATTGGTACCTGCCTGCATTTTGAATACATTAGGCTGATTGGTTGGAATTTTCTAATTAAATATTTATTTTAGCTAATATATATTTATTTTTTGTGTGTTTCGCATAAACAAAAGAAAAACAGACTTTAAAATGTTCCAAAACTCATTTTCTTTAATAATAATAATATGAACAGATTCAATATTGTTTTCTCATTTAACAAAGCTCTTCATGCAGTTAGGTATTCAATTTTCGTTTAGTGATATAATTTAAAAAAATATGTCAGGATTGAGAGAATTACCATTACCCATATCTTTAGAATTGAACTTATGAAATAAAATTATAAATGATTATCGAAGAACATTAACGTTTTTAATTCGTCTTATTAATGTTTTTATGAAAAAAAAATGAATTTATTTTATTTATTACTTTATTGTGGAGAGTGAAGAAGATTGATCCGTCAGATTTCCGAAGTGTTAACGCTCGGGTAAAGTCGGCTAGGGTCGCCTTATCATGTTTTTACATATGGATTAAAATATTTCAGAAATAAAAATCGGGCCTGCATACAGTAAGAAATTGTTCAGCATTTCCTCTTTCCTGTGATAGGCTATAAGTAAAAATTGTATCTTAACGCGGCGCCGTATTAAGGTGGCAAAAAAGGGAAAAAAATAGTTTTATGGAAGAAATGGATTAATATATAAAATATCTAACAAAAGTAAAAATCAGACCAGCATACTAAAACAAGGAAAATGTTCAGCATTTCATTCTATATATAATGAGCTATCATTTATAATTTATATTCATATTAATAAATCTCGTTTTGATGTTTACACTTCTATCCTGTGGTCTAATGCACAGGATTTTTTTATTCTTCATTTATATCCCGAGTAAGATAAATATTTTTAATATTCATAATACCTAAGTATTCTGGCTTAATGTTTTATTTATAAAAGTAGAATATTCGTAAAAATAGATATAGAATTATTTTATTAAATGTGTGGTGGAAATGTATAATGAACTGGTTAAGATCTTATAAACCAAAACTTATCTGAACAGAGAAACTTGCTTAAAGTTTTGATCTATTTAATCCATAATATATTCTACAATAAATAATTTTTTTTTCGAAAAAAAAAACAACAGGAAACGCTACTGCAAAACATCTAGACAGTCATATATACTCATTTATTTATTTATATTCAGAGGTGTCCTTAAAAAAGTTTTTATAAACGATATATACATATATACACTTAACATAATATATGATTATTCATTAATTTACTAAATAATTTTTACTGAATAAACTGGTACTTCTCACCTATTTTTAATTTCTCACTTATTGTGGTAAACACCTCATTTTTTACACAACTTGAGGACGATCTCAAGTTATTTTTTATTAAACCTCAAATTAAATAATATAGACATGAAGCTAATTAAACAATGAAGTTTTTTTTTAAATGGATCATCTATAATATTCTTGAAAAATGATAAACAAAAATTGCGAGTAATTCCTGATTTTTATTTTTAACCCAATGCAATCCCCGTTTAAAGATTTTAAAGAAACAAGCGTTTTCCTGTTTTCAATTAAAATGGCACAAAAACTTTTTAAAAAAATTATCAAGATTAAAAAAACTTAAGTTTTTATAAATTATTTCACATATATGCATATGTATACATGGTGTTCCGAAATAGAGAGGAATATTTAAAAAGATAATCGAAGAGATCAAGTTTTACAAAAAAATTCATATGAACAATTTTCCAATTTCCAGTAGAAAAGTAGGAATTTTAAGATTTGTGTTTTTTTAAGCGAGTCACTTTTTTTGTTGAACACGAAGCAATAACTTCAATATAAAATTTGATTTAAATAATTAAACATTGCTCCATAGTAAACTAGATAAAATTTACTTCAAACCAAAGTAGAGTTAGTCATTGTTAAAACTATTTAAAGTGGACTTTTGAGCGGATAAACACAACTAAATTCTGTTTAAAAAAAAGTCTTAAATTATTTACAATTTTTTTCATCACCCTTCAACTGTACTACCCCCACTTTTACAAAAAAAATCTCGTTTTATAAGCTCTAAGTCCACATAAATTAAGCTGAGGTTTATTAGGAAAAAAAATGATAATTGATTCGCCTCAAGTTGTGTAAATAAATTATGTGATTTTCTATCCAGTCATCTTTTCTGAAAAAATACTACAATTAACATTTACAAAGCTTTCATTTCTTGTTTTTCCATGATAAGGGAATTATTGTAATAAACATGGTTGCCTAATAACACATTTTATTTATAAATAAAATTATTTAAAAATAATGACTTTTTAAATATTTGTCACGTTAAGTTGTTTTTCTCTCAACTCTCCGTCATAGCAATTGGTATGTATTTATCAGTGAGAAACTTAATGTTTCTTACTGAAATTTACGTTTAAATTAAAGAAACATATTGATTGCTTCAATTATTTTCATGAAAACGTATATATTAGAGCTAGAAACATTAAGTTTATCAACTTATATACACACATCAATTCCTATGATAGAATTATGAGAGGGGAACACAATTTCGTAATCATCTTAATTAAAAAATATTTGAAAAATCATTATTTTAAATTTTTTTATAATTATAAATAAAATATATATTTAGGCCCTTAATTTTATTAGAATACATATCAGATCATGTAAAAACAAGAACTAAAAGCCTTGCAACACTTAATTGTAGTAATTTTTGCTATAAACACGAGTACTTTTAAGAGAAAGGATAGAAAATCATATCATTTCTTTACTCAACCTGATCTGAATCTCAAGATTTTTCCTTATAAACCTTAATTTAATTAAAATAAACTTAAACCTTATCTAACGAGTTAGTTTTTATAAAGGTGGGGTAACTATAGTATAGTTGGATGATGATAAAAAAATCAGGAATAATTTAGGATTTTTTTTAAAAAACAGAACTTAGCTTAGTTCAACCGCTCAAATATTAACTTTAAATGATTTTAATGATGAGAAACTCTCTTTACAATTTAAGCAAATTTTGTTTAGTTTACAGTGAATATATTATTATATTTAAATGTGAAATTATGTCACATAATTATTATTCAATGAACTATAAAATGTGCATTGATCCTGCTGTTTATTCAACGTAGAAGAAATTTTGTGTATATATATATATATATATATATATATATATATATATATATATATATATATATATATATATATATATATATATACAAAAAATTGCTAGATATTGTCCTGCAGCTTGGAAATGAGTTTTTTAAGAGAAAAAACTCATAACAAACAGTTGTTGATTATCACATTCCGCGTCCATTGAGTACCAACAGTTTTATTTTAGGTCATTTGCTCCACTTAAAATCACAAATCCCCTGATGGTTAGAAATTAGAATGAATGTATCTTTGATTTTTAATATTTTAACAGTTTGGGTGTCTATTTGTCTGAGTTATTACTATTTAAAGTCTGCTATATAGAGTATATGTATGTATATGTATATATATATATATATATATATATATATATATATATATATATATATATATATATATATATATATAAACATAACATTTAAAATTGGGAATTAGGTCACTTAATTATTATTCCCACAAAATGATCATTGATCCTGGTGTTTATTGGACGAAGAAATTTTGGTTGTATATATATATAATATAATAGAAAATAATTTTACTCTGGGACGAAGTCCCTTTAGAATAACAAAAAAGTACAAAATTAAAGTTATTATATCAGGCCTAAGTAAAAACAAACATAAAAAGTAAAAAGTAACGAAAATATTAGTTAAACATACTGGTACAAAATAAAAAATATATACAAAACACTTGAAACCATGCCAAGACACTTCAAACTATGTACAGTGGTAAAATATAAGTATACAATTTTTAAATAAATAAAAATACATTACATTATTCTTAGTAATAAAATCTGTGTTTCTGCAGAAAAAAAAAGGAAAAGAGGATGAATCTCATTGTATTTCAGAGATGAATTATATGTAAATATATATATAAATGTGTATATCTATATATATATTATATATACATACATACATACTGATATTAATATAATACATGATAATAATTAGATAGTTAAGACTAAGAGACTCACCTTCCATGACGGACGACGAAGGCGCACTGAGATCCGAAGCGACCCCACTCTGCGCAGCCCACTCTCACTACACAACTGCCCAATGTACTCGTAACTTCCTGGATCAGTTGCCTCACTGTCGTAGAATGTCCTTATCTCGATGTCTGGAAGTAGGGGTGTCGGGAGGATATCGATGTATCGATATTTTCGACCGATGTTTATTCCGTTATACAAATTTGACCATCGAGAAATATATTATTCCGTACAGAATAATCATATCAGAATATTTCAATAAAGATAGCTACCTGATATTAAACATCATTAAATTTGATACTGATATAACTAGCGAATCCAGAATATATATATATATATATATATATATACTAGTAGGCCCATGCAAAAAATTCCCACAGCATATTGTTAAGTGATCAAATGCCAAATTAATAATAAAATAAAATAATGCAACGTATCAAAAGATAAGGAAATCAATTGTTACTTTGTCGATAAATACAATCCGAAAAATTGTTCGATTTTGATGATTGCTTTTTCCTCTTGTAGGGAATTTAGTAATCTTTTATAAACCAAATAAATAACCAAGGAAAAAGTGTGTAATTTTTTTAATAAAGTTTTTTTTTATTTCATAACTTCTTGAATGTTCAGGGTGATCGGACTATTTTGCCCGCCTGATGGAGAAGGAAGCCTTCGAAATTGTTGGCTCAATCTTGAGATTTGATCAAGAATTAACGATGATATGGCTTGCCGATCAAAAACACCATCGATAAATAATATAAACTCCTCCTCTCTCGATCATAGAGGCCTCAAGTTGACGAAATGAGACATTTGTTCAATGACAGTATTACAATTAACGTAAGGTTGTATGGATGCGAACCCTATGCCTTGCGTTATCTCGAAAATAGTACGTTTTGGGGCTTGAAAACGCTTCAAAATCTTCAAAGCCCACTTTGTCCCGTATCGATCTACATACTTACTATCTTTCCAGTATTGAAGCCGAGCAATATGTTTGTATCGACTTTATTCATTTTCGAAAGAAAAACAAAAGTGGAGAATACGATTCGCTCCCCCTCTCTCTCCCCCGCGAAATTCTGAATCCAAGGGCATCCCGTTCATTGAATTTGAGCATGACATGAGCTTAAATTTGGTACAAAACAGGTTTCGAGCCTTACTGTAATAATATATGTGGGAATGGGAATATATATATATATATATTGTTTGCGTTGTTTTTATTTGTTTATTTTTACAATGGGAATTACTATGGAAGAAAAGAGAAAAAAAGACTATCTATATGAAATTATGTTTAAGTTGTTCTCTAAAAAAATGAAATAGTAATTACAGAAACAACAATGCTTTCTAATATTTCTTATATCGACTCATTATGAAAGACAGAATTATTAATTTATTACTCTATAAAAAAAAATCAAGTATTTACTTAAATAAACAAAAGATGATGCATGGAGAATTCGTCCTAAAAGACGAATTTTCTGATGATAAATATAAAAATTATTATATTGTAACCAGAAAACTGTTCTATGAATCATCGGTGCAGGCTTTCGATTTTGATTGGAGGTTGATGAACCAAAAATAAAAATCTGGTGCGCACAACACACAAGTTTCACTTATCTCTCTACTTTGAATAGCAATAATTTTCTATCGATGTTTAGAAATTATAAAATTTTTAGGTGGAATTTTAATGAAGCTATAACTCATAGCTTACAGCTAGAAATCATTAAGATCACTAACATAACAAAAACCTTATTAATTATATCACCTCAGTACTCCATTTGATTTTGTAAACCACATAACTCCAGTCTCTGAGCAATATACCTAGAGAGAGATTTGAAAGCATATCTATTATCAACCTATAAATGATTATGGGCTGTACGCTTATCAGTTACTAAACTGTTATTTTCCATTGTAAAGTTTACTAAAATGAAATAGGTCAAAAGTTATCACACTAATTTTAAATGGATAATGTTTGGATTTCATGAACGGAAAATACATCAAATTATTCCGTATTTTAATTTAATAAACAGTTACATAATGATTTTTCGGAATAAACGGCCGATAGATTCCGAATTATTTAAATATAATATCAGATACAGAGTTGTTAAACTTAAGAAAATATTTTTAAGGTTATAAAAACATCCAATAAATATTTTTATATTTCACTTGAGGAACACCAGCGGACTTGGAAAAGATGGATGAATAAGCATCATTGTGATTTACTTTGAAGTCCCTATCAGTCAGGATAATGAGGAAGTATGTTGGATGTAAGAATTTAAGGAATTTGTAAAGCAGTCTCGGCTGCCAGACTCGATCAAAAGCTTATTCTACATACCGCGATCTAATGCGGAGGTGACAACCACACGATGGGAACTACGGAACCCGAACTGGCTATCGGGGATTATGTGATCAGAATCTAGGATTGGGTACAGGAGTTTTAGGATGTTTTTTCAGGACTTTGCCCTTGATGCGTAAAATAGAGATAAGACTAATAAAATAGATAGGACGGTAAGAGGATGGGTATTCTGGTGGCTTTATGGGTTTATGTATCATTTTAATAATGGATATTTTCCAATGTTCTAAATTTAAAAGTGTAATAAATTAGAAAATGAAGAAAGCTCTCAAAATTAATATTGGGTGTCAGATTGTATCCCAGCGGATTCTTGCAGGATTGAATCTATTTTTACTTTCACTTTCCTATTATATATAATATATATTAAGGGTAAGTATTGCGATTATGAACATTTTTGAATCTGGGTTCTCAACGGAAATACACATTTTGAGGTCCTCTGTGTCTAAATAGCCAAGTCCCGCAAACTGGTCTGTGAGTGTATGTATGAGCGTGTGCGCGCGTGTGTGTGTGTGTGTGTGTGTCTGGAGTCTAGCTCAAAAACGAAAAGTCGTACGAAAGTGAAATTGCATATTTCAGGTTTTTATATGCTAGGGATGTTACAGCAAATTTTTCATCAAAATCGGCTACTTGATATAAAGGACTAAACACATTTTTATGATTATCTCGAAAACGGCTTTAATGATTTTGATTAAATTCATCATATCAGTGTAAAATTAAGCAGTTAAAAATCAGATGTGGTTATTATTCTGATTGATGTTCTCTGACTGGGCTCAATTGGCTAATTTGCAATTATAGCTTCCTTTAAAGTACCTTTAATTTTTTTAATTCGAAACAATTGACCATTTGACATTAATTTCTGATAAGAAAAATGGTTAAATATAAAATATGAAATAATTTTATAAATAAATAAAGGAGAAATAAGAGATAGTAACGGAGAATAGTTGTAATTGAGGAACCAAAGGAATACGAGCGCACCCAAACTCGCTAGAAAGATTAGAACACGCTTCCATAAGTATCATGAGATTAATATTATATAAATATAAATATGTGGTTTTCATAAATGTTATTATTGGTATAATTTAATATTTATTTGTATAGATTACAGAGATATACATATTAAAAGTTGTATATATGAGGTTGCTACTACAAATAAAAATACCCACAATGAATTATAAATAAATACAGAGTCTATAATTTTTACTTTCAATTCGCTTTGTCTGAAAATACTTATTTCTGCTAAGAAGAGGGTGGTAAGTTAAAGTTGTGTGATGCGCGCACCAAGCCAGATTTTTAGCCCTCGTTCAAAGTAAGAATAGATGAAATTCATTTGGAATAGATGAAACTTTCTGCCAAATAAGTCAGATTTTTCTACATGGGTTTAGAGACTAATAGGTCACGAAATGAACTGTGTGGGTTGCGGTCATTTTCGGCCCAGCTGTTTGGTGATTATGACTCATGGAATGGCAATTCATGCTTTATGTATAGAACAGCTTCTTGTATAAACTGGGTGTCTTAGTTCTCGATGACCAAACTTTGTGAGAAGGGGGGGGAGGGTGATTATAGACAAAATTTTAAATAAAGAAGTTCATTTGATGCATGGGCCAATTCCGAACGCATAAGGAACTAAGAAATATTTTGAATTAAGAAATATTCAATTTCTATTGGTTAACTCAATTTAATTGTTCATTATTCTAAGTATTTCCGCTTTGTATGATCTCTCTTTTATTTTATTTTAAATTTATATTTACACTCCACATCAGTGTATGACCATCCTTTTTCACTTTGTATTCATTTTACTTTTTAACCATATCTCAATATTATCTAACATTCAAATGTAATTTCCTTACATATGTACAACCAAATATAATTATAATTATTAATATTTTTCCCTCTCTATACTTCTAAGCTAGTTCTGGAATGTATGTATATAAATGAAGTTATTTCTATATTTATATTTTACTTCTTCCATTTTTGTTTTTATTCACTTTGTACTCTTATCTATAATCTCTTAATTCTATTTATATGTATATGTGTATATTTATAATTTAATATTTCATAGATATTAAATTTTAGATACCGTAATTTTCTAGGTTTTTCACCATTACCCAAACAAGTCAGCTTCCCCTATACCTGCCCTTACCCTGGTTTTCCAGTTCTAAGTTAAAATTCGTAGCTGAACACACCTGTAAGTCTGTGATTTTATTTACGTATCTATTTAATTTTTGGGATTTCTTTTTTCTTTTCTTTCTACACATTCCTTTATGTCTATTATTTCATATTATATCCTTTTTCCTTTTCTACCAATCTCTCCTGTAGATCTGTAGAAGTATATTCACATTTGCATTTATTATATATTACACTACAACAATTGTTAGCATCTATTTACTTCAGTTTAGGATCTTGTTACTTAGCTTACTCTGTTTATATTTTAATGTACTTACTGTTTATAATTTTAATAAGCTTATTCACATTGTTTATAATTTTTTGTCTAAATATTATGTAACTACCACAATTCTCTATCTTTTTGTATCTTGTCCGTTCTAGCCCTGAAGAAGACCTGCAAAGTCGGGTCGAAACGTTGGCTTTTAATAAAAACAGTTTTACCACTATTTAGCCTATTTATGACCACCACCCCGGACCATATCCTTCCTTTGTCATGCAACGGTCAATTACTAAATATTCAATAAGAAATATTTTGTGTTTTTCGGAAGGTGCTGTCGTTTTTTTCACTGAATAAGAAAGCATTAGTCAAAA